TCTGCCGTGCGGGGCTGCTGGGAGTTTTTAAGCTCTGTGAGAATCCTGGGAGTTGGTGATGTCAGACTCGTTGGGTCATTTGAAGGTTAGCAGCCCGGGAAGGGTTCATGGAAAGTTCACTCGCATATATTAGGCAATTCAATCTTTCATTCTGCGTGACAGAAGTAGTAGGAAGTGAGCTGTTCAGAGGCAGGAGGGTCTATTCTTGGCCAGAGGGGGGACCAGCATTCCCCCATCGCAGCCGATCGAGGACTGGGATGCGGCGGACGCGGGCGAGCCGGGCAGGGGCCGTCTGGGCACCGTCGGGGTAGCGCCCGGAGCGCCATCGGGAGCCTTTTGGTGGACGCGGACTTGGAAGGACAACTTGGGACCCTTCTGGGAACCCCCTCCACCCCCCTTCTCCCCCTCTCCGCCCCGGCTGGATTTGGCCGAGCAAGCCTGGAAAATGGTAAATGATCATTTGGATCAATTACAGGCTTTTAGCTGGCTTGTCTGTCATAATTCATGATTCGGGGCTGGGAAAAAGACCAACAGCCTACGTGCCAAAAAGGGGGCAGAGTTTGATGGAGTTGGGTGGACTTTTCCCTGCCGTTTGCCTCCGCACCTAGAAGGATACGCGCTTCTGCAGACGGTGCAGGGAGATCATGTTTGACTGTATGGATGTTTTGTCACTGAGTCCCGGGCAGATCCTGGATTTCTACACTGCAAGCCCGTCCTCCTGCATGCTCCAGGAGAAAGCCTTCAAAGCATGCTTCGGTGGACTGGCCCCGACCGAGTGGCAGCACCGGCACACTGCGCAATGTAGGTTTTCATGATTTTTGCTTTTAACCCCCCCCCCATGCCCCCCGTCTTCCACCAAGGAGGGGGAAATATTTGTCTCTCTTGCATGCAATAAAGACATTGGAAATAAACTTGCACCGGTAGCAAGACAAAGGATTTAATGATTTAGTGCTGGAAGGGGTGTTGAGGTGCTGGCGTGCATATTGATCGCCTCTGCTGAAAATGCCCTGGTGGGGGTTTCCCCCTCCCCCAAAAAAATCCCCCCTGTGCAGCCCTGTCGCTTAGTTTTGCAAACCTCATAACCTCTCGGATTTTTAAAATAATGCAAGGAGGGGTGGATAGCAGTGCAGGGCGACCCCAGGACTTTGAAACACTCTTCAAGTAAGGCAGTTGCATTTTTTTTTTCCCTTCCAAAAATGTGCAAAAGGGCCCATAACCTTCCTGTTCTTTGGATTAGCTACTTAGTGGTAGATATCTCTCCCCTTGTGCATTTTTCTCAGCAGTCCAAGGTAATTCAGATACAACGTCTTCCTCGAAAGGATTTTAAACCTGATTAAGGTAGTGGCAGAGCCTGAAGTTCATAAACCACAGTGCACTGTTTTCTTTGCGAAGGGAAGGCAATATTTCTTAGCATTGACCCCACTGCCACCTTCCAGGGCCACTTTGTTGCTCTAAGAAGTTGGTGTTTTGCTAGAAAACTCCTGGCCATGAATGCCCCTTGGGTTGAGCCATTCATTATTTCCATTAACTTGCAGTTCAAGCCAGGACCCTGAGCTTGGGCTGAGGAAGGGAGATAGAAGTGTGCTGGCCCAGTTTTTCTTTCTGAAAGTGTATGAACGATTGGGTTATCTGATGTTGACACGGGGGAAGCACGCATGTGGTCAACAGTAGCCTGGCTGCAGCCTTGAGAAATGACCAGGGGTCCCAGCAAGTCCACCTACACACACACACACACACACACACACACACTCTCTCTCTGGTTGTGCTGGGCTCCTGCAGGATGCAGGGGGGTTGGGGGGGCTTGACAGTGATTTAGATAAATAGCCCAACTATCTATCAAAATGTTTTTAGTACTTTATTTGGCAATCCATTAGCCTGAAAATGACATTTGAAATCTTTGCTTTCGGAAGAGGTCAGAGTAACCTGGAGAAAGGGAGTTTTCCTAATAACAGTGGTTTATCTGTTAAAGAGGAGGAAAAGGGGGGGAAAAAAGGAGGGTAGCTTGTCAAGGGTTAAATTACCCTCCCTGAAACTTTTTCTTCTGACTCAAAGCGCTGGTTTCTTGGGCCAGGAAATCAACAGGTTTGTAACTGAAAAAATCAATAAGCATTTGATGCCAACAGTTTGGCTGGCTGGGTGAACATTTCAAGGGAGGCAAAACCAGGGCAAAAAGAACATCGACTCCCCAAGGCGTCTTAATCTCAAGCTGCTTCTCAAATCGCTTGTCCTTCCTATAGCCTCTTTTCTTTCCCGGGAACTCAAAGAAACTGAAGGTTGCAAGATAATTTTCCAACCCACTAACCAATCTTTCAGACCCCTCTTTTCTGTAGCAATTAAAACGGTATGAAGCATTTCACTTGGAATCCTAATGAGCTAGGGCTTTTTGAAGCTTCTTTCTAAAAAATACATGTATGTAAGAGAAAATTCTCATGGAACATATTTTTAATGGAAGGAAGAAGAACATCTTTTTAATGGAAAGGGGGCAGAGTGCTCAGGGGGGAAGTAGTCCTCTTATTAGACTTAATAGAGCTTTTATGTAGACATTTCCCTCGTTGTAATTACCCCTGCAAACATTCCTATTAAGTTGTAGGAGCTGGGGGAAGCTTTGTTTGTTCTTCAGGCAAGTTAAACAAGGATTTGCCTTATCTGGGGGCAAGAATGGTGAATGTGTCATTTGCCTAGGGCCAGCCGATAAGCCAGAAGTGTTGATAACAGCAAAGTTCAGCTAATCAAAGAAACTTGCCTTAGAAAAAGTAAATAAAGGCATTTGACAAAGGGATTTCAGAAATTCCACTGTTTTATTTTAGGAACAGAGCAATTATAATGCTCATTGTGGTCAATTTCACCAGGGTTTGAATCCCACATCCCTGGCTTTAGGTTAAATGAGTAAAATGTAAATATTGCTGTGTCCATGCAAAACTGTTTTTTTTAAATTGAGATTTTAATGAAAGTTTATAGGGAACTTGGATTTCCATTCATTCATTGTTGCACATTTTCCTCCGTGCCCTCCCTACCCCTCAGTTTGCTTTTTTTTTTGAAGAAAAAAAAATTGTTATACAGTTCATCCCAAGTCCACTTTATGCAGAGCTGTTTTGGCCTCCACAGATCAGTTTCCTTACTTGAGCAATTAAAACTTTGAACATAAACAACTAAATATATATATATGTGTGTGTATGTATATATATATGTGTATGTGTGTGTGTGTGTATGTGTGTATTTGTTATATATTTATTTATACTATATAATATTTATATATTTATATTATATATTTATCTATTTATTCTATATAATATATATTAAGAATCCCTACCAAGTACAGTTTGGCACAGGGTGGCACAGCCAGAGTTTTTGAAATAAAAAGCACATTAGCACCGTGTTTGTATGAGAACTTAAAAGCATAAAAACCACAACCCGCTCTATTTCATTTAATGGATATTTTGATGAGAAGCAGATCTGTTTGTGCCCTTAACACAGAGGGTAAAGTGGGTTCAGGGGTGGGGGGAAGTACTAAAGTGCCAACAAAACTATGTTCTGCTTCAAGATCCTACTTTATTTTTTTAAAGTGTGTGTGATATACTTCGAGTAAAACCTTTGAACATAGAGCGTACCAAAAGCATGTTTTGAAAGGTGTTAGAATATTCCCTTTTCTTTTTCATTTTAAAGGAAAATAATATGCCAGCCAGCTGCTGGCTGGAGGAGGGCCTGTGAATTGCTTGTTACAAAAATCAGAAGTCAAAATTTGGGATCTGCGAAGAGAATGTGGTGTAAATAATACTGGTTTAAGGCTGTCCCTGGAAAGTATTGGAATCTCCAAGTTTCTGGTCAGATGGCCTCCCAGATTATCTAGGGTTTAGGCTTCTCCAGATGTTTTTGGAATTAATTGCTCAGTGGGCATAGGATAAATCTTACTATTTTGTGGGTCTAAATATAGTTGCTTTGGGTGAAATAATGGGTGTGACAACTTCTTGGCCCTAACCCCAATTTTCTTCTCACTCAACACATCAGAATAAGAAAGGGGAAAAAATGATTTCTCCTTTTGACGTAGGCTTTTGCCTATTCACGAGAAGAAATTATTCTATTTAAAAACAAACAGTAACGAGGAATGATTAAGGCATTAAAAAAAGAAAAAAAAGAAAAATCTCCATTTCCACATACTGGCGCTCAAATGGTAAGTATTAAAGAGTATTTAAACCCTCTCCTAGTGAGACAGAAATTGGGGTCAAAGTAGCAAAATCAAAGATACCCTCTGAAAGAGAGAATAAATAAAGACTGACAGGCACCGTATGAATTGAATGGGGGTTTGAATAAATATTTCAGTGAAAAGGCTCAATTGTTTTTCTAAAGTAGGACATAATTTTCTGCTTCTCAGCCCCATGACAGTGGTAACTAATACCATCAGGAAGAAAAGACAGAAAAGGGACTTTTGCTCATGTCTCAAGAAGGGCACAAGGTTGGAACACTTGAAACACGTGAAAATGAGCCAAGTTTTCCTTCTCTCTAGAAAAAGAGACAGGCTTATCCAGACCCAGACACGCTGGTGTGTTTGGTGTGTCCGTCCTCAGGCATGGCTTCTCCACAAACAAGTGTGAAAAGCATATACAACTGTGGACTGCAGATTCCAGGGAAGCATAAGGGAGCCTGTGCTTATATCTCTGGCTGAGTCATGCTCCTCTGTCAGGATCTGTAAATTTGAAAATGTTCTGTGGGGCTGTGGGGTTGGAAGAGACAGATGCCAGCCAAACCTACAGGCAGAATATTTGACATGGTTAAAAAAAAATAAGGAAAAAAAGAAAGAAATACGATTTGTGAATAAACTCATGCTTGCTTTGCTTGTTGGGCCATCTAACACTGCTAGTATTGGGATGCAGTTTAGAAGAGGGAGAGAAGGAATGACTAGATTTAAATATTACTGCTAAAAGGAGAAAAGGAAAAGGGGAAAAGAAAAAGGAGAGTTCATAATTAAGGGGGAGAAAAAAAGAGAAATAGCTATGATCTACTTATGTAAGCTGTGGAGTTGACTGAGAAGTTTTAGTTATAATTTGATTTACCAGCCTGAATATAAAGCTGTCCATTGAATCGGGCCCTTTTTCCTGTAATAGATAAAAAAGTATGGCGATTTCTGCTAGGCTAACTGACTTGAATCTGAAGTGTCTTCCTCATTTCTGGAAACCTAGTCCTGACGATAATTAACCAGCCAGTATTATCCCCAACTTCTCTTTAAAGAAGGAGGAAAGGAGACTTCTTTTTGGCTCTCATTTACATTTACCTTGTCCTTAGGCTCCTGAAATGAACATGTAAAGAAGGGGAAAAAAATGTTTTGGCCTCCACATTTTGATATACTGAATGTATAAAGCATTCAGTAAGAATCATTATACTGTACCCCAGGAGGCAAGTGCATGATAAATGATGAAGATTATAAACTCTGCTCTTGAGAAATAGAAAGAGATTATCCATCCATCCATCC